GTATGTAGACATAAATCAAGACATTGAATTAAGTGTTGGATAGAATTGGATACTCACACATGAAGAAGAAAGCATAGAGAGGTAGGGAAGAAAAGGGACAAAAAAGTCAAGAAATGGTCAAACAGCAAAAGCAAGTTGAAAAGATTAAAAAAAAAATGGAACAAAAAGAGAGCCATTTCCATCCTCACTCTTTTTCTCCAACTTTCCAAATTCCCATCATTATTTTTGTTCATCATTACAAAAATACCCTTCAAATTATTCTACTTTCTTTTTTATTTTTATTTTTTAAATATTGCTTTAACACAATAAAATATAAATAAATAAATATTCCTTTAAAAAAGAATGCTTTGTTTCTAAGTCAAAATTGTCTCACTTTTAGAATAAAAAAGTATCATGTATGGCACGCCCAAGAAAATCTTCAAAAAAAAAAAAAAAAAAAAAAAAACTTGTTTAGTGGATAAAATATATTATTAATTTCTATACTCTAATATTTGTACGGTCGGAAAGTTGGAAATTAAAATTTTGGATTGGTTGAGTTAACGACACTAATAACCTGAATATAGTTCACAATCCAACTCAATCCTTTGTTTTCGTCAAATAGTTTTCGCTACTCAGGTTAGACATCAGTGTCACAATCCAAAGTATAGTTGTGCCCCAAAGTAAGTCATCGAGGACGATGACTAGTTTAAGTGGGAAACAATGTCAGGACCTAACAATAGTTGTGCCCCCAAAGTAAGTCATTAAAGACGATGACTAGTCTAAGTGAGGGAGAATGTCACAACTTAACTATGTAGAGAATAGGTTGTGGCCCTCACGTTGTGACAAAAGAAGTAGCGACCCTCAAGTGGCGCCCATCCGATCACACGAAGGCCTAGTTAGGTTGGGATAATCTACTTTTTTTTTTTTTTTTTTTTTTAAGTATTTTAAACATGGTTACTTATCCACGATATATGTTTTATTACTAACTAAAAAATCGGTGAAGCAATACATATTCTTAATTTTCTAAAAGTTGGATAGGATAGGATTGGATTAGATTAGATTATAACTTTATTTTCAGGTCTCGACCAAAAACAACGTCAACCCACAAACTAAACTAAAATTTTGATTTTTCAAATATTCGACTCATTCATAATCTGAAAAAAATCTGATTCAACCCAATTTTTATAATTTGGATTGAATAGTTCATGTGGGTCGAATGATACTATCAAAAAGGAATAATAGAACATGAAAGCTATGGTCATATGATTTGATTATAATTTGAAAATTTATCACGATGAAGAGTGGTTTAATTTTCAAAAAGTCTAAATTAGTGCGAAAAATGTAATATAATTAACCTTTATTTTTTTGTTTTTGTTTTTTTTTTTTTTTTTTTTTTT